TCTATATGGCTTACAACAGCCAAGGTGGCAAGGATGTAGCATTATCAACCTTCTGCCCCACCGCAAGTGGCAGGATAATACCTGTTAGGAGGAAGCAGTGGTCCCAGTATGGGTGGAGTGAGGTGGGGGGCAGGAGGTATAGAGGGACTTTCCCTCTAATTAAGTTTCCTGAACGACAGAGAGACCGTCATTGTGTTCGAGATGGAATTCCCCTCTCCTTCCAGGACAGGCTGGAGGCATGTAGATGAATCAGGGCAGGAATAAGACTGGATGTACATGGAGAATGCATTATTGTTATCTGTGTTCCTCATGTCCTACAGCACACCTGGGAGCGATCAGCCACCTGGGTGAGGTTAGAGTCCATTTAGAGGATGGATGGGCCTGGCCTGAGCCTCAGGAGAGCTGGGTTCCCGTGCTTGTTCTGAAAACACCTCCCTGGGTGACCGTGGGCAGTCACTTAGTCTCTCTGGGCCTCACTTCCCCATCCATACCATGGGGATAACAGGCCTGCCCTGCCTCACCGGGGAGCATGTGGCTGAAGACATGAAAGACTGGGAGGCACTCAGACACTATGGTAGTGGGTTCTTCCATGGCTCCCAAGATTTTCAGAGCAGGAGCTCTCTCGCTCTCTCTCTCGTATATGGGCAGAACCTACCACATTGGGGCCCCCGATGCTTCCTGTGATCCATGTAATAAATAGACAGCTGTGTCATGTGGGGTCACCGAGGAGGTGAATAACCTGGGGAACTCCTGGCATATGGAGCCCCTCGGGCTGAGCTACACCTTACAGTGCGGTTTTGTGTAACGCAGGGGTCGATGGAAGCAGCCGCCACGCAGAAGACTTCCGATTTTGTGGCGAAAGAAACCAAACGAAGAAAAGCCATATCACTTATCAGATGCGGCCAGAGAACATCACCATCGAGAACAGTGCTGACACGCTGAAGATAAGTGTGCCATTCCCATTAAACCCTGTAAACTTCTCTTTACCCGACAATTTGGGGAACTACCGCTTCTGCCTCTACTGGTACCAAAGGGATGGGATTTTCAACCTCACGTACGGCAAAAACAACTACACGCTGAGTACCGAGGCAGAGCCTTCCTTCAACTTTTCAAACCCAAGCGCACCGCAGAATAGAAGTGGGGTTCCTGTGCTTTCCAGAGTGTCCTACGCCTATGGCAAAGGCCTGCGGAACACCTCCCTCAGCAGCGCCGCTGTTTACTCCTTCTCCATCCGTGGTACAGTTGAATCAATATGTTAAATGGGTTAGAGAACTTGCAGCGGTACCACCGCAGCCTCTGAGCGTGTTCAGTCTCAGAAGCTAAGCAGGGCTGGCTCTGTCTGCCCATGGATGGGAAGGTTCTGGGGAAAACCCCTGAGGCAGCTGATGCTCCATTAGAAGGTAGAGAAGGGCATTTGGCTTCTCCACTGGTCACTAATTCCATCATTTTTCAAAAATGGCCACTAGTTTTGGGTTCCTCATTTTTGGGGCACCCACATGCAGCGCTCTGTGGCCGATTTCCCCACGGTGTCGAAATCCCACCTCTCCCAGTGAGAAGAACTGGAGTTGTGGGTTCTCAACACCTCTGGAAATCCAGCCCAAAGTTTCTCTGTGTAAGCACACAAAGTAAGTGGCCACTTTTGAAGACGTGGCTGCAAAGGTCCTGCATTTCACCGGATAACCCCTCATCTAGTCACAATGTCCCACCTTTAATGGCCAGTTGTGCTGCCTTCAGCAGTGCAGGGGTCCTCAGGTCACAGCTGTATGGGAGCCTTATAGGGATCCATCATGACACCAGCAACACTCCATCCTTTAGAACAGAGGTGGGCAAACTACAGCCCATGGGCCACATCTGGCCCACGGGACCGTCCTGCCCGGCCCCCGAGCTCCTGGCCCGGGAGGCTAGCCCCCAGCCCCTCCCCTGCTGTTCCCCCTCCCCCCGCAGCCTCAGCTCACTCACTCTGCCTCCGGCGCAAGGCTCTGGGCGGTGGGGCTGTGAGCTCCTGGGGCAGCGCAGCTGCAGAGCCTGGCCTGACCCGGTCTCTGAGCTGCGTGGTGGAGGCAGTGGTGGCGGCGTGGCCTGGCTCCAGCAGGCGGGGGTTGGATAGATGGCAAGGGAGTTTGGGGTGGTGGTCAGGGGTGGGGGTGTGGATAGGAGTTGGGGTGGGAACAGGGGGTTGAATGGGGGCAGGGGGTCCCAGGGGCAGCCGTCAGGAATGAGAGTAGGGGTTGGATGGGGCGGC